GCTCAAGAACACAACTTTACTAGTAGCGTGTACTGGGTAAAAAGTTATTAAAATGTTATCTTCACAGATTTCATTGTTTTTCCAGTGTTAGATACTTCCTAATGTTCACTTCCTACAGTTGTGGAAAAGACAACAACATACACAGACTTATAAGAAAATAAGGAAAAATTAGGACGAAATGTCATTCATAGTTTCCTGTCATATACAGCAATGATGAAATAAAATAGTGACCTCTAAGTGGCTGCACTGTCAGTTTCTAGAGTTAAGATGAGCCCAAGCTCGTTGTCAGCTATGATTGTCAAAAATCAGGCAGCAGAGACACTAATATGAACCTCAGATGACAGTTCTATTATGAATAAGACATAAAAAAACCCCAATGAACATGAAAAAAGGATTTTCTTCTGCTTAATTGGGACCAGAATGACATTACTCGACCAAGATTTTATTTAACAGATGTGTTTAAAATGCTTCAGACTAAATGTGACGTGAACATTATGCTATTGTTTATAGATTTATTGAACAGTTATAGTAATTACGACTATTTCTTACCACGGAATTTTGATTTGAGTATAGAAACAAGACCTGACTGTTACCTTTGGAATTGTAGTCCACAACCCAATTACTGATTGCAATAGAAAGATTTCTTTCAACCTTCGCAGTCACAGACGACAATCTGTATTTTTTTTTACTTCCATTTTATTATAGCTTTTCTTTACTCAACAGCATTTTGAATACAATCTACTTGTAAAGAAAAACACTTTCTGCTGCATTTGAGGTATATATACCCGCAATCAAACCTCCATCTCAAATTTGTATTCATGCATGTCTGATAACACTACCTTGGCTAATGCTACTGCAAATAAATGCGTAGCCATAGCAGCAGAGAACTTGATGCAGGCTGCAAAGCCTGACCAAAAACTTCATGAAAAGTGCAGCTTTTTGTGCTGCTATGGGCTCTGTGCTGCCTTGGATATACTGCAATGTGTATTTGAACTTAACTAGCTTCAAATAAATGTGCAAGCTGCAAATATGCCTTGATTGTTGTTGTAAATAACTGATAAACTCAGATCAGCCATAGCTATTAGCTGCTTGAAACGATCTTCTAATGCGCAAAATCCTGATCATTGAAAATTAAGTGCTTTCTTCTGCTCCCTAAATAATATAAAAAAGCTCCCCTATTAGATGCTACTGAATCAAAACCTTACCGAAGTACAACGCTAAAACTACACTAATATTCTACTGGTGTCATACCATGCTCCAGACGGGAATTACAGCAAAAGCACATAGCACAATATTTACTGCACTTTATGCCTCTTTGCAGTTAAAGCAAACTGTAACATTAACAGGTAGTTTGGAACATATACGTAATTCAGTTGTTAATTTAAAAATGCAAAGCACCATGAATGGAAACAAAGGAAATAAATATGGTAATCACATCTATGTCAACAAAAATGTAGTGAAAATGATTAGTATTCTTAAGGTGTTAGAACATTTCCAAGATCTAGCAATTCCAAATGTATGTTATTTCTTAGTTATGCAACGAGGCTTTTCCTCAGCAAGAAATTATCTGTCTTGATGGGCCTTGTCACAAGCAGAAAAAATACGACTGGTAATTCTGATCACAGAAATAGAGTAGGTTTAAACTTGACAAAAAACGCATAACATGTTAGAAAGAGGCAATCTGTTCAATAAGAGAAGAATGCAGTAGGACTGAAAATAAAATAACACACCCAAGAGGCTATCCTGGGATGCAGCATGAGACCCAGTACTCCTCTTTAATCAGAAAAATCAGCTGAACACTACCAGAGCTTTCTGGGGAGGTCAGCAGATCATGAAGAGAAAAATGGCCAAGCAATGGCTAGCATTCCACTAAATTTACTATTCCTCCTTTTTTTTTTTTCTTAAGCAGTCTGTTTAGTTAAAAGAAACAATTTCAGTTCTCAGTTCTAGAGCTGAGTAGTGTTGGCTTGCTCCTCTGTATTACTTTGTTTTATAGGGGCTTGGCTCAGCCTCACGAGCAAGCGACAGTTTGGTACCTTGAGCAGTATCATACTGAGGATGACAATGGCAATGGTGAAAGAGATTTACTTCCTGCTTCCATTTATATTACAGCTATGGAAGAAAGTGTGCATTCTGGTTGCATTTCTCTCCCTTGCCTTCATATTTGAAACATGGAGCCACTACCTTCTAGCTCCCATCTATGCTGAGGTGTGATTTCTATTCCACTTTTTTAGAGAAATGTCTGTAATCATAAAGACTAAACCAGTTTTTATCGATTTGTTTGGTTTTGTTCTGAAACAGAAGAGATTAGCTAGAACTTGATGGCATCTGACCAACAGAGATTGTTACACTCTGAATGATTTCGAGGATAGACACTTCAAGTCACGGCTTGTAACTCTTTTTGACTGTGTGATGAGTCGAAGAAGTTCATCCTATGTATCGATCTGCAGTGTGTATTAATAAAGTATATCTACTATAAGTGAATCTGTTAGTTTCATCAAAAGAAGCAGTAACCAAACTGGTTACCAGTTAACCCAAACAGTCAAAACCAGTACAGAAGCAAAGCAGGAAAATACTGGAATTGCTGCATGAGGTCTCCACATATTTTAAGCTTAGAGTAAGTCAGTGGCTTTTGTGCCATGATACAAAATTTAGCAACCATTTGAAATGTTAGGTGGGGAAGAACAGCAAAGCAATGAAAGGCCAAGTTAGTGTTTCTGTCTAACGACATATCACATTTTTTCTGAAGTAAGCTGAAATCACAGACTTCTTGCTTATACAGCATATATGTAATAAACCATTATATACAGTATTCATCACTTATGATACACATATACATAGAAAGAATAGATTATTGTATATGTATCTATATTAGATATAAAGTGCATGAAAAAGTTATGTAGAGGATAATACTGAAAAACCCCTACATTATACATTGTTGAACTCAGAAATAGAAAATTAAAGAAACTTTATCATTATAAATCTTGCTTTGACTGACCATATCATTAACTTCAGTGAGGTGGTTACGATCTGAAAATAAACTTTGATACTCAGGGTCTAGTATTCATTCTAGATAGTATGCAACCTACACAATATTTGATTTCCCAATAACAAAATAAATTATTAAAAGCAAATTCTCAACTGAACCTACACAGACTTTGAGTAGGGAAAAAAAAAAAAAAAAGTTCACTTCAAAGATGAACTTGGAGCAACCAATGACCATATACTTTTATCAAAAAGCCAAAAAGGTTTTGATAAGTGAACTCAACATCATCTACACCAAGTTTAGTGCTCTGTTTGGTTCAAGGTAGAAAGATGCGACATGTAGATATTGTGACAAGTGTCAACAAATCAAAAACATACTAATGAATTCCTTAAAAGCAAGCTTAGAGTTGTATTATCCTGTTCTTGAGCTAACAAGACAGGTGAAAGAAAAGCTGAATTCATAAAATGTCTTAGAATCAGACTGTCTCAAAATGCTCTATAGAAAAACTGACTTTAGTAAAAACAACAAAAAATCCAAGAGTTTACTTTTACTTTTCTCTCCAAATTATATGTCTGAACTTTAAACTTCAGTACCAACTTATATTCATCTGATGTACAAATCAGTCCCTCAGGTTAGACTAAGATTTTGTGGAATTAAAATCTTGGTGTTTTTTTTTATTTGTTTGTTTCTGGTGTTTTGTCTTTAACCTGAAACATAAAACATGGCCCTGATGTTTGTCCAACAGTTTGAAAACTGGAAACTTACACTGTCTGTCACAGACATCTAGATAGATAGAATGGGCTGAAAAGCAGTAACATTCAACATAATTGTTCTTACAAGCAGAAACACCTATAGGACAAATTCAGTTGTGCTCCGCAGTCATTATTCAATTATCAATATGTTATGTGCTAGACAAGCACGTGTCAAATATACTTGATTCTTCTTCGAGCCAATTCCTTTAAGTGAATTAATTATCTTTCAACTGTCCTTCCAGCTCTATTTTCTTTAATTTTATGTTTAATAATGCCAAATTTTGTATGTTGGTTTTTTTTTTTTTTTTGCTATAGACACTTAAGAAATAAACACTTAAACATTAGGTATAATTAGTATCATCAATTTGATGGTGTCTGCTTTACAAACTCTGCAGTGCATTTAAATATCAAAGGATAATGCATTCTGCTTACAAAACTAAGAAAGGAGATTCTTTTTTTTCTTTAATGGAGGTACTCTATATATAAACTTTTTCCTGAGATGACTAGTTATGAGCTACTGAAAACAGTCACTCTGGAGTCCTCAAGCTTGATTAAAACACAGCTAATTCTGTAGATTGTCTAACAAACAAAGCTAAAAAGCACATACCCCCTCATTTTAACTTTTCAACTTTTAACCTTTCAACTTACTTGAGTAAGTCCTACTGATTTCATTGAGATAATTCAGGAGTTTATGAATAAATATATGTATAAGATTCACGCTTGAAATTTAGAGAAATATTTTGCCATGAAGTAACTGATTAATTTACTATTATTTTGCTGATACAACATCCCTTTTGATTATACTGGTAAACAATAGCTTAAACCACTCCAGCTCCAGTATCAAGAAAACCAAGACACAGGAAACCAGAAATGAATGCAAAAAGTTCTCTGTTTTGGTATCATAAACACTTAACATTTAAGATATTCTGCAATCTCTACTTTCTGTTATAGTTCCATAATCTATTAAAACATCCTTGCATAATTGTTCTTAAGAGTTATAACACTACTACATTTAAAGTAATAACCAAATTTTAAATAAATAAAAAGCCCACAAAAGATAGAACAGCTTTGCAAAGTGATCAATTAATATAGCTTTGGGATGTAATATTCAGATGAATCTTAAAAAGCAAGGTTCCAGTATGGTTTCAGTATTCCACTAATGTAGAAAACGGAAAAAAAAAAAAATCACAGCAGTCTTTTGAAAGCACAAATCAACTACGTAAGCTAAGAAGAACATGCAAATCATGAATATGGTTTATTACCATGGTTACAAGCTTTCAGCACAGGCCTCTGTGTGGTTGGACTGAGATTTTGTGGTATGTCTGGAAAAGCAAGGGAACAATAGAAATAAAATACATCTTTGAAAGTTACTGGAGTATTGTAATAACATTACTAAGCAGAATTATTTAGAAGTTAGATATTTCTATATACCAGTGAAATTATTTTATTCATTTATGGGGCAAGATGAATTTCTCTTCCCCATTCAACTATAAATGCTAAAAAGTTAAAGTACATGTGGCTGTATCGCAGAGTCTTGTCATAATAATCAGGCTATGCTAAATTCAGTACATTAATCTCCAAAGTGCTACTGACATCAGCAAAATAGCCTGAACATCCCTGAAACTGTCATTGCAAGAATTAAACCTGATAGCATTTCATTTCTAGAGCACTGGACGCATAATGCTTTTAACTTTCCCTGGAAAATAAAATGTAAACCAGAATATTCACCTTTAGACTTTGGTGTCCTTTTCCTTCGGTCTCGAAAAGCTGCACCTGACTGCAAGGCCTCCAACAGGCTATCCATCACTCCAGTCTCCTCACCTTCTGTAAAGGAGAGAAGGAACCCTCTAGGTTACCATAGCAATATCAAAGCATAATTAATAATAAAAATAAACAACAACAATAAAAGATATTAATGGTATTATTAAAACTATTTATTTCAAACTTAGCTTAGAGTTTTAACATTGACAAATTGCTCTCTTGCAATTAATCACACCAGGTTTGGTTTTCTATACATTGAACTAGGCTATCTTTTATTCCATTCATTTCACATTCCTCTTTCTCTATACTGAGAGTCAAGTATAGTTTTAAGTGAAATGTCATTTCATTCATATTTGCATTTCAGTACCCTTTTGCAACTGCAAATAATCAGTTTCATGTCAGCTTTCAAGAGCTGTCCCTTAAATGATTTGCTATGTTAGACAAGAGATCATTTCAGTTATTTTTATAAAA